CTGCTCCGGACCACTATGACCATGAGATCCGCAGTGTTCAAGGCGGCCGCGGCCCCTGCCGGCGGCAACCCTGAGCAGCGACTGGACTACGAGCGGGCTGCGGCGCTGGGCGGGCCGGAGGACGAGCCCGGGGCCCCCGAAGCCCACTTCCTCCCCCGGCACCGTAAGCTCAAGGAGCCCGGGCCCCCGCTCGCCTCGTCCCAGGGCGGGAGCCCCGCGCCCTCCCCGGCCGGCTGCGGCGTCAAGGGCCGGAGCTTGTTACTCCCGGCCGGGGCGGCCCCCGGGCAGCAGGAAGAGAGCTGGGGCGGCTCGGTGCCCTTGCCCTGTCCTCCCCCGGCCACCAAGCAAGCCGGCATTGGGGGAGAGCCAGCGGCCGCCGGAGCTGGCTGCAGCCCCCGGCCCAAGTATCAGGCGGTGCTGCCCATTCAGACGGGCTCTCTCGTGGCGGCGGCCAAAGAGCCTACGCCCTGGGCTGGGGACAAGGGTGGGGCGACTCCCCCAGCTGCCACCGCTTCGGACTCGGCGGGACCCCCTCCACTACCTCTGCCCGGGCCACCACCCCTCGCGCCCACCGCCACCGCCGGGCCCCTGGCGGCCAGCGAGGGCCGATGGAAGAGTATGAGGAAGAGCCCTCTCGGTGGTGGCGGCGGCTCGGGAGCCTCCAGTCAGGCCGCCTGCCTCAAACAGATCCTTCTGCTGCAATTGGACCTCATCGAACAGCAGCAGCAGCAGCTGCAGGCCAAGGAAAAGGAGATCGAGGAGCTCAAGTCCGAGAGAGACACGGTATGCGAGGGGTTAACGTGCGTGCGGGCCGAGGAGCCGCTGGTGCGCATGCTCGGGGGAGGGGGCAGGTAGGAGGTTAAGGTACCCCGGGTTAGGGGTAAAGGAGGTTGGCCCGCAGCAAAGGAGTCTCTTAGGTGCTGGGCTCGTGGTCCTGGGGAGCCCAGCTCTCGAGACACGCTGGACAGGAGGGAAGGGTTAAAGGGCAACCCTCCTAGCGGAGGGGAGGGGCGGGTTCAGGTGCCAAAGGGTTAATTTAAAATGACAGCCCCTGACTTGTGGGAACGCTGTGGAGAGAGGGAACCGACCTGATGTGTGAAGGGTTAAAAATGAAAGGGTGGGGTGCATATGTGGTGGCTTTATGTAAGGGGTTAAATGGAAGACCTGTGTGGATAGATATTCGTTGTGGAGGACAGGACATAGCAGCTGTTGCTCTGAGCGCTGCTGCAGCATCTTTAGATAGAAGGCTAGTGGTGACTTAGAGTGGAATCCTATTTTAGTCTTCTCAAACTCTAGCAGAGAGAATCACTGCCTTTGATTTCAGACATTTCTTAATATGAACCATAAAAACATTGACCACACTGATCAGGTCCCTTGTATAAGCTTGAATACTAGATAGGTGTTTTGATGCTGGAAGATTTTAAAGCATCAAGGGAAAGTCATCTGGTGAAATGTATTACATACACCTAAAAAAAAAATAAAATCTAATTTTAGTCTTTTATTATTTCTTTGTACTCTGAAGAACAGGACAATGTGGTCTTGTTTATACTGCAGCAGTAGTTTAAGGGCACCTCTGGGTTAAAACATATTCTTTCAGATACTAGGAAAGCTGTGGTGGTGGGGTTTGACTGTGCTGGCTTGGTAACACTCCTGCATACCTTACAGCTGCCTAAAAATAAACATGGTTTCTACAATTGTGTTCAAGCTGCAGCAGTCAGTCTCTCCCTCTCTCCCTCTCTGGCGTCGTGGGCACCATGAGCTGAGCAAGGGAGCAGCGGGCTATTAATTTTGTTTTCTTTCCAAGTGAATCTCATTGGGCAGTGGCTGTTTTATTGGAGACTTCGGTCTGCAAGGTGGAATGGGAGCTGAGGCAGGTCTCACGAAAATATCTCATGGTGTTGATTTGTGGAAGTTACTCAACATGGAGGTGGCACAGCTCAGCTACTGTACTGCAGTCTAGGGGTGTGATGGTACTGTCATTACAACACATCATATCTGTGCATGGGATGGGGGAGGCTGGAAGAGAAGGACTAGTGAAGGGGCAGAAATCCAGGAAATGGTACCCATACTCTGTGGTTAAGAAATGTTAAAGCTGTGAACCAAGCCAATGTAAGGGGATGAAATGAGACTTATGGCTGACAGAAGGGAACTCTCAGCTGATTGTGAAGGATTTTGCTCAGTTCTTGAGGTAATGGTCCCACTGCAGGCTTTCCTAGACAGGAAAAGTAGGGGTGAGTTAAGGATAGAGTGTCAGTCTGAACTTGGCATTCACTGCTTCTGGTGCATATTGCAGTCTTAGCTTCATTCAATCTTGTTTCTTTTATTCTATTTGTTGTTTGGCCTCTACTGAAATTTGTGTAGCTAGAGGGATATAATGAAGGCATCATTAGTAATATCATGCAATTTAGTTTAAATTTTTGTTATAGGATATAAATAGCATGGTTGACACCTTTTCTCAAAACATTGAGTATGAAGTTTCAAAAATAATTGACCTGTATTTTCTATTAGATTATGTATTAGCCCTCCCATAAATTAACTTCTAGGACTTTGGTTTTAATCAGTATTTGGATAAATAGACATAAATTTTTCTTCTCAAATGTAAAGCAATATATTTGTTTCATGATCTTTGGGATTTATGAGTGCTGGTTGCTATTCTAATCCTTCCAAGAGGAGCATTCATTGTTTTGGGAGCTTCCCTCCTACTCCTTTTAAATAACACTACAGTTCCCAGTTATATTGTTGTGAGCTTTTCATTTCCTCTCAGTATACTGTCTGGACCTTGTCCTGGTATATTGCATTTTGGTGTGGAAGTAGAGAGTCTAGGATTTGGAGAACCTTAGGGCATCCTAAAAGGCCCATGAGGTTAATTCCAGAAACTCCCAAGCTGATTTGGAGCCACATGGTTAGGGTTAGCAGTCTCAGATCATGCCATTAAAAGACAAGTGGTGGCTCCTCCTTGTAGAGAGGCTAAAAGATGAACTACAGATTCCCCTCTGCCCCCTCCATCTAATTTAACCTGTAAAATTAAGTGCCTTCTCTATTATGTTTAAAGAAAACTGCTAAGATTAAAATCTGTTTAAAAAGAATTTTATTGATAAGGCCCAGGGAGACTGCTGATTCATAAATAGGCCTTAAGACTTTTATTTCAGTTCTGTTTATGTCTCTGTGTAAGTCTACATTTTGTCACTTTCTCTTCTAGCTTCTTGCTCGGATTGAACGTATGGAAAGGCGGATGCAGCTGGTAAAGAAGGATAACGAAAAAGAAAGGCACAAGTTGTTTCAGGGCTATGAAACTGAAGAGAGAGAGGAAACAGAACTATCAGAGAAAATTAAACTGGAGTGCCAGCCAGAGCTTTCTGAGACACCCCAGGCTCTGCCTCCCAAGCCTTTCTCATGTGGGCGGAGTGGAAAGGGACACAAAAGGTGTGCTGATAGTTTTGTTAACACTAGACACCATGAGGACACTTGTTACCAGAGACTAATTAAGAGTTATAGATTGAGATTTATGAATTAGTTTATAGTAACCTTTTCCTGCATTATGTAGGGTCTTCGATGTTTAGAAAGTGTCTCAAAATAGTCATATTTAGGCTCTAGAAGTTGGTTAGGGACATTTTGGTAACAGTAGTAATTAGACAATGTAAAGTACATCATAACGAGAATAGGCAACAAATATGACAGATGATTTTGTTAAAACTATTAGGAGTTAACTTTGAATTAGGGACTGTTAAATTCCCCTCCTTATTTGTGGCACTGAACAGATATAAAAGTAACAGGCCTAAGATGTAAAGAGATTAGTCTAGCTGTAACAATGGATGTAGCTATTGAAAACTGAGAACTCAAATGCAGTATAGTATGTATGTATACAAAATTTATTAAGTTTTGTAGGATTCAGGATATTAATGGTAACTCTGAATTGGACTACTGAGAAAAAACTTTAAAGAGGAGACAGGTCTTGAAAAGATTTTTAAGGGGAGCTCTGGTGGCCTAGTGGCACGACCTGCAACTACAATCCCAGAGGCGCACGGTTTGAATCCACTAGATGCTCTGCCAGGGAAGGAGGGACAATTTCCTCCTGTACCAGTCAGATCTGATTTGACAGTACACTCACACAAAAATAATAAAAAAAAAAGTAAAAAAAAAGATTTTAGGCTAATAAAGAGCAAAGGATATGGCATTTTTTAGGAGGAGTGGAGTGGGAGAGAGGAGGGAGGGAGAAAGGATCAGCAGACTTCAGGAATAAAATAAATAACATGGTACAAAGAGCCTTGGTCTCTGGTTGACCAAAAATGAAGGAAATAGAAGAGAATATTGACACTTAATGACTTTAAGTAAAATAGGAATATTTTTACACTTTGTAGGTAACAGGATACTGTTAGAGGTTTATAAAACATGGAAACTCCTTTGTTGAGCAAATAACTTAGTAAGGGCCTATTACATATAGGCCTGTACCTGCTTATGTCTGCCAGATAAGCAGCAGTTACTTAAGATACCTGAATACTGATCATTTTGGGATATCAGAACAAGTTCATTCTTTTATCCCAAGATATAATCAAATCAGGGTGTTTTGGGATTTTTAAATTTTTTTTTTAAGAGTTGATAAACACTAAAATGTTTTCTTCCCTATTTGATAGGAAATCCCCATTTGGAAATACAGAAAGAAAGACTCCTGTTAAAAAGCTGGCTCCAGAATTTTCAAAAGTCAAAACAAAAACACCTAAGCACTCTCCAGTTAAAGAGGAACCTTGTGGTTCCTTATCTGAAACTGTTTGTAAACGTGAATTGAGGAGCCAAGAAACTCCAGAAAAGCCTCGATCTTCAGTGGACACCCCACCAAGACTCTCCACTCCCCAGAAGGGACCCAGCACCCATGTCAAGGAGAAAGCCTTCTCAAGTGAGATAGAAGATTTGCCGTACCTTTCCACCACAGAAATGTATTTGTGTCGTTGGCACCAGCCTCCCCCGTCACCGTTACCATTACGGGAATCCTCTCCAAAGAAGGAGGAGACTGTAGCAAGTAAGGCATAGAGAACACTTGCTCTTATACCCTAGTGGTGGCGGTCAAGCTAACAAGTTTGAAAATGCCTTTGGCATTTTTTTAAAAAAGTGCAATCAATAAAGCAGAGTTCTGTCAAGAATGAGTAAGTTAACAGCCAGAGACAGACACTGTGCAGGCATTGCAAATAGATGGAATTACAGCAAAATGTGCTCAATGTATTTGCCTGCTTACAACACTGGGAGATGTGTTTGCCAGTAAGTTGCTCATCACAAGAGCACCAGACTTGGGGGTGTAATCTCCGGCAACTTGCATGCCCTCTGAAAGAAGGGTTTTCTGTGCCGTGAAATGCATAGAACTTATACTTTGCCGTGCACGACTGTTCCTGCAATTGATATTGTGTGAAACCTGGGAGGGTGGTCTTTGGGTGTTCTCAGGGGCCAATGGTAATTTTTGGGTTGGGGAGCCAGGTTGGGGTGGGCAATTTCACCTGGGCCTCTACTCTTTAACTATATAAACGTTTATCTGTATCTCTATGTCCCGGTCTGGGGGGCAGGAGGAATCTGCCAAAGACCAACAGTCTTACTTTATCTTACTATACTTCACAAAGGTTCTAAAATGTGAAGAGTTTACTTGGATTGCAGTAGCCCATTGGTTGTTCATATATTTAAATAAAATGGTCTACAAACTATTTTTCAAACAATAAGGACTATCTTGGGATATCTGAGCTGCTTGGAGAGGGTGTGGGGTGTGGGACCTTGATCTTCATTCCCTTTATTTCTTTATGGCTTCTACACCAAGATGCTTGCCTTATCTCCTACATCAACCCGTAATTGGAACGTGCCTTCAATGTTAGTTTGTGACAGATACTATGGGTGCTGCAGGGTGACAGTGGGAATGCCTTTTTGAATAGAGCTGCAGCCCTCATTTTCTACCCTGTGTCTTGTACTAGCTGGGGATGGGGATGGGAATCCATTCCACTAAGACAAGAGTATTCTCCAGATTTTCTTTGGCTGTTCTGGTGACAAAATTGTCTTCTTAATTATCTGAAATTCATTAGACCTCACATTTGAGCACATGAGTTAGACCAGGATCCTGATCTAGATTCAGATTTTTTGTTGGTTAAGTCGGTTGAACAGGTTCATCCTTAATGGTTTAACCTTCTTGCTGCCATGGCAATGCTGTGTAACGACTTGAGAGGAACCGTGAAGCAACTTCCTATCCAGGATTGGGAAATGGCTTGATCCGGAGCTGTTCTGTATGACTGGCTATTTTGGAAAATCTTATCTGTCCTAGTACAGAAAATTCCAAATACCTCTGAGATTGTGGGCATAGCAGTAAAAGGAGTCCACTTGGGGGGGATTGCAGCCCTTTGAGAAGCCTGAGTTGTGAATAAAACATGTGAATCCTTAATCTTGACATCCCGATCTCAAGAGGAAGTCTCAATGGCTTGTTCAAAGGAAGCCAAAGTCTTTGTGCATGTTGTTCAGGCTGAACCAGCAAGGTAGTTTTTTGGAGGGAGGAGGGAGCTGTATATGAAGACTACATATGTAAGTTTTGAGAACAATGATCTTTTATTTGAAAAATAGGGTCAACTTTTACTCACCTGCCATGTTCTGAGTTTAAGGTTTGATATCCTTGGCCATCAACTGTTGCAGGGAAACCACCCTAAATAATGAAGAAAAGAAGTCGTCTCAGTGTAAAAAAAAAAGTGGTGGGCTTATTTTCTTTTCTTTTGTCTGTTGTTCCCTCTTCCCTTCCCCCAGAGAGAGATTCTCAAAACAACAACTCAAAAACAAAATGGCTTCCTAGTGAGAACTTCAGTAATGATCCTTTCCTCCATTTTGGGTATGGGCTTTTTTTCTTTTTACACTGAGATGATTCTTCTTTCCTGCATTATTTAGGATGTCTGATGCCATCAAGTGTTGCAGGAGAAACTTCAGTCTTGGCTGGTGAGTAGAATAGGAATTGTGCTGGCTGGGCTTGGGGTGGAGGTTGGTGGGATGGTGGATGGTTGGGAGCTGTATTTTTCATCATTTCGTTGTGGGAGAGTGAGGTTCTTTGGTGTGTAAGTACGCTACTGTAGACTTCAAAATGACAACAAATTTCAGTTGTTTTTCAGGAACTGCAATAGCATCCATTATATGAATTGTCAGGTACTGGTTTAGGGCTTTTTTTTGTGCTCCTGAGTTTGGCAGACTGAAATAGTATTTCAGGTTCTTTTGTACCATAGTGGGAACATTTGAGTGTGGCTTCAGGTGAGGCCATAGAATGGATTCCTATCATTTGGTAACTTTGTGGGAAAGATCATTTTCCTAGTAAATAATAGAAAAGCTGTGTGACCTTGGAATTAAGAGTGATTCCACTCCTCCTCCTTTTCTTGTGTTTTTCTTTCTAGTTCCTTCTTGGAGGGACCATTCAGTAGAACCTCTAAGGGACCCAAATCCTTCAGACCTTTTGGAGGTAGGTACTAACCAAAAGCTGTCAGTGAAAGAGACTGAACAGTATGGGGGATACTGAATATATAACCTGAATATGCCATATTTATTGTTTGTTTAGGGTACATAGAATTCTAAAGCTAGAAAGCAAGCTAAGAAACTATTTAGTCTAAGTCCATTTTATACATGAGAAAATTGAGGTGACAGTGGCTAAGTGATTAAAAAAGTGTATAGCTAGAAGAGTATTTGAAATAGAAGTAGATTTCATATTAAGATTTAAAATTAAACTCTTAAAAGTTTGAATGAAGGAAAGTGTATGGCATTTTCTAGAGTTGTTTTGGTGTGACATAACTTTTAACTTGGAAAATTCTGAAAATGGAAAAGGATGAGTGTAGAGAAGAGACTGTGTCTTGTTGTTCTGTCACTAAGAGGTTCCTAGAATGTTCTCAGGATTTAGACTCAGGTGAAACCTAAAAGATATATATTCCTGGAGGCTTGAAATGAGAACACACATGTGTGACATGGTTACAAATAATTTATTAGCGCTATTCTTTACATAGAACCTGGATGACAGTGTGTTTTCGAAGCGGCATGCAAAACTGGAGCTGGATGAGAAAAGAAGGAAAAGGTAGGCTAGAAATGTTCATCTTCTGAACAAGTGAGCCCAAGGACTATGACCTCTCTGTTCCACACTGTGGCTAGTCCTCAAGCTCTTAACATGCTTAAACTACTAGCATCCTAATTGGTCAAGTGTGTTAGCTAGACGTGGTACTTGTAAGTAAACATGTAAGCTCTTTTTCCTTTGACTGTGCCCTTCAGTTCCACTCTCTGTGGAACACTAACCTATGATTTAAACTATTTTACCTAAACACTTATTCTCTAACTAAGCAGTCAATTTTTCTGGGTGTCTGGACTGTGAGTTCCTTTTATTGAGTAAATTTTTCGTAATGATGGATTTGTTTTGTTTTGTGTGGCTTATTTTTCTCAGATGGGATATTCAGAGGATCAGGGAACAAAGAATTTTACAGCGACTACAGCTCAGAATGTATAAAAAGAAAGGAATTCAGGAATCTGAGCCTGAGGTTACCTCATTTTTCCCTGAGCCAGATGATGGTAAGTTCCATTTATCTAACTGCCTTTGTAAGAATGAGGTTCTTAAAAAGAATACAAAGCTCTAGGCTACAACTTGACTTTGAAATGACTGAGTTGGTTGCATTTTGGAGCAGGCAAGTTGCTAGACATTTTTCATCCTTGGCACTAACACAGTTCTATTTGACTTTCTTCCATAGTTGAAAGTTTGATGATTACCCCCTTCTTGCCTGTTGTAGCATTTGGAAGACCATTACCAAAATTAACCCCACAGTAAGTATAAAGTTACTCCCCTCTATGAAGTTCCCAACTCAGGTAGCCTGTACTTGCCTTTTTAGACTCTTATGAAATCTAGAAAAAATGTGGAACAAATGGTTTAGGGGTATCTTTGGTAGTAACGATGGTTCTTTGACAAAAGTGAGGCTACCCTGGGCAACTAGTGTTTAGGTTTTGAGTTAGGATTAGTTCATCACCCTAATGGCATATTGTTACTGAAACATTAAGTCGAGAAAGCCATTCCAAACTTAGGACTCCAGAATTAGGCCTAGGAGTAGTGAGGAGCATAATGATAGCTTTGGAATTACTATCCTGTCTACATTGAACCTCTTTTGGTCTTGCAAACTGATTTTCTCATCCTTTGTCAGGAATTTTGAGCTACCCTGGTTGGATGAGCGTAGCCGATGCAGGTTGGAGATCCAGAAGAAACAAACACCTCACCGGACGTGTAGGAAATAACTGTACTGGCAAGAGCCCTCTGTCTTCAGATAGTTGTAGCATGCCATTCCCAGAGAGTGGCAGAGACCTGTATATGTGACCTGTGTCCTCATGTATGTTATCATTCATTGATAATACCTTTCCATACACTCTTGGTTTTGGTTTTGTTTTCATCATCCTGATTTTACAAAAGCTCTTTCATTGAGCCAGTTGTGAATTATGGAAGGTAATTAGAGTTTTTTTTCCCTTTTTGGAGGAAAGAGGTCTCAAACTAAATCTATAAGATGGCAGATTTGGAAGTGTTGGGGGTCTGCCACTATACCTTTGCCTGTGGCAAAGTGCTTGCTTCATTACACTTTAAAAGAGGAAGCAACCCTTGCTTTTAAAGCTGTGCCTTGGTGGCACTTCTCACCCTGGTGTATCCTTCCCTATAGTTTGGGTATAGTGGTTTTCACTAAAACAAAAACAAATAAAACACCTCACTATGAGCTTTTAAGAACCAGATGAGGAATAACTGGTGAAGTGATGAAGCAAGTCATTCTCACAGAATAGAAAAGAGATTGGAGAGTTGTTAGATAAATGTCTTAAACAACGGTGTTCTCTTAAAACTGTACTATGATGTAGCCATGTGGGGGGAAAAGTGTTTGCCTATCATAATTAGTTATTGGATAATTTTTTTCTCCCTCAAAAACCAAAATTTTTGGGAAAGGTAAAGAGGATGGCTTTAGATAAGTTATGGCTATAAACAAAAGCAGTTGGTATCTGGGGATGGCGTGTCAAAGCCTGTATAGATGTCCTTGTGTCACATCACTTCTGAAGTATTCCTCCTTGTTGGGGTTTTTCCTTTTAGCTGAGCTCTTGGTGGTGGGGTAGAGGTTTAGGGAGGGAGGGTGGGAGGGTTGTGGAAATATGTGCTTCATTTGGCTGGCAATGTCTACATCTTGAAACAAAACAGATGTACCTAATGAGCTTCTCCATTCACTTTGTAAAAATACATTTGTATGTGTGCCATCTTGGTTCCCCCCATCCCCATTTTGTTAAAAATAAAAAAAATTTCGGGATAGTACTCCAAGGCCACTTTGGTCTCAGTGTAAGGTCCTTGTAACTATCTGGAAGGAAAATAGAGCCACGACCTCTGGTCTTAAATATATAGGAATTGCCTTTCATTAGTTTTCGGGACTATTGTGTGAAAACAAGGAGTCTAATCTCCTAGAAGGTAGGGGCTTTTATCCTTGAAGAGAATATGTCCCCAGATCATTAGCACTTTTAGAGGAGAAGCCAAGGTATGTAGGGTGTATGGCCGGCCCATCAGTGGAGCATGAGAGAATGGGATACCATTGTGGGAAGAGAAGAAAAGTTCCTCAGGGGCCTCCCACTGCTAAAGCTTTTTGTGAAATGTTGATCTGTGCTCCCTGAGTTTGACTTTTAAAGGAATTATTCCGGCAGCACATGTAGTATTCTTGGATGATCTTGCTGCTCTTATTTCTTCTTTTTTGTGTGTGTGTTTGTGTTTATTTGTAACTCCATCTGCTTAGGAGAGTGGGCTCTCTACAAGGGAACCTGCTGTGAACTTCATTGCAGCAAGGGTGTAGAGAGAAATAGGACTTAGTCCACTAGGGGCTCTCATCTCACACCTTAAGGAGAGGAAGGAGATTTCTTTAAAAATTGGGCCAGATTTTCTTTTCTTTGTTCTCCATCATTTTAATATGGCAAGCTATTTTTTTCCCTGCTCTGATTTATGCTATATTCCTTCATAGTGTACCCAAAAAGAAAAGATAAATGAGTGTCTTTAAACTTGAATTTCTCAATTTTTTTCATTTTTAGCATTTGTTGGCAAAGTTTGGATATGGGTTAGCAAATGTATGTAATCTTTATGTTTATACCCTACCCAAAGGGGACTCCCCACTTTATTTTTGAACTTGAGTTAGACTGAGAGGAATCCATGAGGTGCTATCTGGCCAGACTTAAGTGGATTCCATTTCCTTGGTTCTCCTTCTCCCTGAGGACTTTTCATTTTATTGGCCTCTCTTTTAGATCAGTTCTCCTTCAGTTTCGGTATGTTGAGGTTTATTGTAAAGTTGGAGAGTAGATTAGCAAAGTTCCAAAAGCAAAATAACAGTGTGTTAGAGTGTGAGGGGAAAAGTAGTCTTATTTTTCCTTACATGGTATACAACACTGTGAAATTCAATCTTAAACAGAAAGCCCTGCAGTTCTCCTAAAACATAGTTCTTTGTTTAACTTTCTTTAACTAAGTTTAAGCTAGTGTTAATAAATTAAAAGGAAAAAAATGCTTGTTTGTCCACTTTGCCTTTGTTTTTATGCCCATTTCATATTGTTGTCTGTGTTGTAATTCATACTTTTGATACCATTTCTGATGTGTAAAATTGGTTGTCTTGTAAATATCTTATAAAGAGTTCAATTGTAAATAAACTATTGTGGCTGTTAATTTTTTGAATTTCTGTTTGATTTAATTATTTACTGAGCAGGATTCTGCTTGTATATTTAAAAAGATTAGAAAAATTTGCCTTCACAGTAAAATGGAAAAACATATTATTTTTCCCTTTCATATAAGGTCTTCACTTTCTTTTGTGTATGACCGCAATGTTTGTTTGATCCCTTTGTCCTGTGTTCCTCTTGACACAAAATTAGATACCGGAGACTAGCTGGGCGGTCTCCTCCCATGTAGTTTACTGCCTCTGAATATCCTTTGGAGGGTCAGCTACGAGTCGTTTCTGATTCGATGGCGCACAACAGAATGCTTAGTGCCTGTCTTAAGTTACAGCTGCAAATACCTTGTAGGTCTGACCCCAGGTACATGATTTCTCTTGGACTACATTCTAGCCAAATGAAGTCCAGTTTCTGCTTTTACATACAGCTCATTTTTTCCCCTTACACTTTGTTTTTTAAATATTAGACAATTCTTTCTCAAACCAAATGGTTCTTGCTTTTTCTTTAAGATTTAAAAAAAAATCCAACCAACTTCTTTTCTTTACAATTTTTTAAAAATTCTTTTATTTTAGTATTTTTTGTGCATTGTACCGTCAAATCAAATCTGACTGGTACAGGAGGAGATTGTCCCTCCTTCTTCAGCAGAGCATCTGGTGGATTCGAACCAGGCACATCTGGGATTGCAGTGCAGCTTCTTGCCACCAGGCCACCAGAGCTCCCCTTCTTCACAATCTTTTTCATAATGAAAGACTGCCATCCTAAATCTGTTCTTTAAGCCAAACATTCATGTTGCTAGGTACCATCAAGTCATAACCAAAACCTGTAGCTGACTCTCTTGTGAGTTTCCAGAGGCAATAAATCACAAATACTGCCCATCTTCCCCCCACCCCAGGAGCAACTTGGCAGTGCAGTTCCTGTACCACTAGGCCACCAGAACTCCTTATACATTCACAGACCTTCAAAATTGTTCCTTAATTTTTAATTTTTCAGTATCTTCTAAGTAAGTGAACATTTTTTCAACATCCATTTAAAATACCGGACCCTGCAGACCAAACAATGGAAGGACAAAGTGGTAAACTATCAGTTTCCTAACAGGACACTATACACTTTGCAGCCCCATTTACATCAATTTAGCTTGTGGTCATGAACATCTTATATGATTGGTTTTGTTGTGGTGTTTTTTTTAAAAAATAAACCATATATGCTCCATTTTTAACTAAACTGATTTTTTTTTTTTCCGGATTTCAGAGCTTGTTTTATTAGACACCATTGTATAGCCAGTGTCTGGAAAGGTGACTATCATGTAGTGAAGATTCAAAGTTTGCCGCCCGAATGATTGCAGAGGAGAGCTAAACTGATTTTTTAAGATGTTTTTACATTACCTTTAATTGGGACCTGGCATAAGTTTGTATCCTGATTATACTTATGTAAGCATTCATAATGCCAGTTTTATATTGTCTGTATCTCTGAGGAGCCCTGGTCATGTAGAGGTTACTGGGGTCAGTTCTGAAGATTTACTATCTTGGAGACTGTGAGTTGGATTAGCTTGGTTTGGATTGGCTTGGTTCTTTGCCTTTGTTTAGTCTAAGGAAGATCAATCATAATTTGTGAGAGTATTACAATTAACTGTTTTAATACTGCTTTATTTCACTGCCCTTTCTCATACATTCATGTGCACACCTGTAGTTCATATAGACAAACTTCCATGCGATTTACAGCTCTGAAAAACCTCTGGAGGGTCAGCTACAACTAGTTTTGACTAGATGGCAATGAGTTTGACAATTATTTTTAGTATAGTCAAAAAAATACACCACTGCTGACAAATTCATTGCTAAAATGAATTCCTTCATCTTCCAGTTGAGCAAACTAAGGATTTTAAACTCATACTGGTTCTAGTGAATTAAAAAACAACAAACCAGCCGTAGAATCTTAAAACCTGCAGTGTAACAGGCTGCAGTTGGGAGGTGAAGGCTGGGGTGGGAAGTCTTAACGAAAAGGAAAAGCGTTAAACTGGGCTCGTGCGGCACAGTTGACGCAGCAAGACGACATTAGAGGTGAACCCTGATTTGTGATTTTTACCAAGTAAAACAATGTAGTAAAATGACTTTAAACGCCGGTAGAAAAGAGACATGGAAATTGAAAACCGCTCCAACGCTGTGAAGCTCTGACAGGTTGACTCCTTCCATTTGGGAAGCCCAAAATGGCCGGACGAGGAACGCAGGAAAGCTGCCCGCGTGGATCTCCCCTCGCCCGCGGCCAGCCGAGAAAAGTGGGGGCCACGCCACGCCCCCCACGCCCCCACCGACGTAAACCCACTCGTGCCGTAATCCCGCAAACGTGCCGCAGGGCGTCGGGACCGCCCCAGCCCCGCCCACTGGAGTCGGAGCCGCGAACGTGAGGCATGCTGGGACTGCTTCTCGAGGCTCCCAGCTGTCCCTGCGACGGGCGCGGTGCGTAAGTCGCTGGCCAGCGGTGGCCGTTCTCCGTAAGATGGCTGACCGGCGGCGGCAGCGCGCTTCGCAGGATACCGAGGACGAGGAGTCTGGCGCTTCGGGCTCGGACAGTGGCGGCTTCCCGGCTCGGGGCGGCGGGAGTTGCAGCGGGAGCGTTGGAGGCGGAGACAGCGGCTCCCTTCCTTCCCAGCGCGGAGGCCGAGCCGGGGGCCTCCATCTGCGGCGGGTGGAGAGCGGGGGCGCGAAGAGCGCCGAGGAGTCCGAGTGTGTGAGTGAGCCGGCGGGGCGGGCGGGGGTGCATGCAGGCCGCGGGAGTGGAGGTCACGAGAGTTGCTGGCAGATTCTGGAGCTTGTTGGGTTGAAAAAGAGAGTGATCCCACTGCGGGTTTACCCCGGGGTCCTATAGGAAGAGGAATGCTTGGATTTTCTGGAGGGAAGAGGGTACGTTCTTAAATGCGAATGGACAGCGGATGTTGATTCAGAAATTGGGCTGGACGTCAAGAGAGCTGATCTCTATAAGATGCTACTTGTTAAAATTGCGTTATCCCCCACCTATTTTTCCAACCATTTTGTTTGGAGTCTTGAGCTTCTCACCTGTTTGCTTATTGGATGTCCACTCTGGAAACCCCAGAACTAACCCTCTGTCGTCTTTCCTTCAGGAGAGTGAGGATGGCATCGAGGGTGATGGTAAGTAAGATCTCTATCCCACCATGGCAGAATTTTGAGCACATTGTGAAGTATTCTTTTTCTGTGGAGTGGCTAAAAGAATAGGTTTAATCAGTGTCATCTTGGAAAAGTCAGTCTCTCTGAGCTTGTTGCCTCATCTGTAAAATTTTATCTACATCAAAGGTTGTTAACAGAGTTAAAAGGAAACTTTTAACCTGACACAGAATGATCAGAAGCAGTGATTACTATAATTTTGTTGCATCTTTTCCCATAACGTATTTCTTATTTCCTTCAGCTGTCCTCTCGGATTATGAAAGTGCAGAAGACTCAGAAGTGAGTATAATTTAGTTTTGTTTTCACTACAGATGGTGTGGATGGAGAAAATGTATGTTATAAATATTTACACACCTGGGGTGCATTTCTATGCATTTTTTTATTATTCATTTTAATGAAAGTTTACAGAAACTTTGCATTTCCATTCATTCATTGTTACACTTTTCTCCCTGCCCACCTCTCCCCCCCAGTTTGCTCTTTGAAAAGTAAAACTCTTTCATTGTTATACAATCCCTCCCCCCAAGTCCACTCTGCTATAAAGCCTTCATTCTGGACTCCTGTCATGACAATAATACCTAATCTTATATCCCTTCTAAACAGTTTTCACATTATTTATTACCTCTTTTCTTAAGTTTTCCTCCACCCCGATGTCAGTCTCATTTTACAACAGTGGCACTATGCAGTATTTGTCCTTTTGTGACTGAGATATTTCACTCAACATAATGTCCTCCATGGTCACTCATTTTGTATAATATTTCATGAGTTCCTTGTTTTTCAATGCAGCATAGTATTCCATTGTGTGAATATACCGCAGTTTCTCTATCCATTTGTTTGTTGATGGCCACTTGGGTTGTTTCCAACTCTCTGCCATTGTGAACAAAGCTTCAGTAAACATGGGTGTGCATATATCTGCTTGGGTGGCAGTTATGGTTTCTTTAGGTTATGTTCCCAGTAGTGGAATTGCTGGGTCAAATGGTATTTCTAGTTCCAACTTTTTGAGAAAGCTTCATACTGCCTTCCATAATGGTTGCACCATTCTACACTCCCACCAACAGTGAATAAGGGTTCCAGTTTCTCCAGACCTTGTCAGCATTTGATTGCTGCTCTGTTGAATTTTGCTATTCTGGAGTGAGATGATATCTCATAGTTGTTTTGTCTTCTGTGTATTTTTAATTTATGTTTCTGGAAAACTGTTAAAAGAGGTCTTACTTGGTTAGACTGAGGGAAGTTTGGGGCTACCTTTTCAAATAACATTTGTTAAACTCTTAGTAGTTGGTGTCATGCTCTCTTTTAAGAAACTAAGGTTCCAAATAAGAGAATAAAAACACCTCGTACCATTAATGACTGGAAGCAGGAGTAGCATCCACTTCCAGAATGGCTTGCCTCCGGAAACTCTATGTATGAACAGTGCTCAGGCCATTCGTTCATAGGGTCGCTATGAGTCGTCTACCACTCAACGGCATCAAACAACAACAACAACCATTAATGAGATGTTTGGTAGTTCATTTCATGCTTTCTAGGTAGAAAAACCAGCCAGTTTGGATAATCGACGTTTATGTAAAGACCTAGAAAATGCAGGATTATTCAGTGGGTTGTGCAAAAAAGCATATCAGTTTATAGAAGGAGTTTTATTTATCTTTAGGAGAAATCATGTTTCATACTTTGTGAACTTATCTGCTTTAATAAACCAGTAGAGTTGCTATCAGCGTGGCTGTTTGCCTAGGTTGCTAGTAAAGTGTCTTAAGTGTAGAATTTTGGTGAGAGGTTATATTCATGGATCAGAGATTTTCTGATAAATTTTATAGAACTGTTACTACATCTTATATTTTGTTACACTAGGGAGATGTAACAGTAAACTCTGTAACAAAATTCTTTAGTGATTTTTCTGACTTAACTAGGGAATTTGGTCAAATATTGTGGCAGTCCTAGGACTTGATGACAACTGCTGAGGGTATAATCTGTCTTAGGTAGTGGAGAAAAAGTACAACCTAAAGAATGAGTTGGAATTAGCTGGCAAAACAGTCTTTCCGGTAGGAGGAATAAGAAGTTTTCAAAAGGTCCAGAGACAGGAGGTGAACATTTGGAAACAAAGTAGTTTAGTGTGGCTGAAATGTTGTTGGGTCAAAATGGGTACAGAGATGATGGTAAATTGGTGAGAGGAAGCCACTGCATGAAGGGTCTTACTTGTAGTTCTGTCCTCCAAGTTTACTTCTGGGTCATAAGGGGAAAACAAAGTAAGCCCAGCGTGGAAGGGGAATGGTAAAGGGTCTTTAGACACCACTGAGCCATATGAAAGGTGATGGAAACATTTTGAAATGGGTTGTGTTGATGGTTGCAAAACATGAATATAATTAATGTTAACTAACTGACCCACGTAGAAAATGTTGGAATACTGAGTTTTGTATTTAAAGTATAAACAGACATATAAACAGCACATACTTACCAGAACCAAAAACCGGAAAGTGAAACCACTTCTTTCCAGTCACCCCTCTGCTGAGAATTTGCCTTTCGAGTTCAGATATTCTGAATCAAAACTACTTTTTAATACGGTTTTCGGGTAATTCATATGTATAAATAAGACTCATAGCACTGACGTATAAAACCCCAAATTCAGTGCCACTCTGCGCAACTCTTCATAATGACCTTCCATTGGGTTTCTGAGCATGTAAATCTTTATGGAAGGAGACTGTCCATGTTTCTCTTACACAGTCACTCTTGGACTGGAACTGCCAACTATTAGGTTAGCAACCCATTGGGCAATGTGCTCCACCATGGCTCCTTGGAATTTGTAAAGATCGGCCTTTTTTAAAAAAACAAACAAACAACAGCAAACCACTAACAAAAACCAATTTTGAGGGGAAAATGGAAATAATATTGGTATATTCTATGATACTGGAATTATTAGGTACCATAGTAACAATAACAGAGGCAGCCAAGTTGATAAGGGTGTTATGAAACACTTAGAGGATGAGATGTTTAAACAGAGGCATGAGGATGAGTAGGAGCGTTCCTAAGCAGAGGGAACATGGTCTAGCAAAAACATTTAGACTGCATGGTGAAACATGACTGGAAGGTGAGAGTGCAAGCCAGGGAGTTAGAAATGCATTTGAGACAGATCTTAAAGTACTTATAAAGCAAGTTTAAAAATGCTTATATTTTACTCTAAAGAAAGGGAAAATGGGGGACGTGGGAGAAAAGTGCAACAGTGAATGAATGGAAATCCAAAATCTTTGTAAATGTTCATTGAAATTAATAATAATAATTTAAAAAGGGGAAAACTGAAAAAGGTTTTAAATAAGAGTATGATATAGACCAGCATTTGTCAAAACCAGGGAACACTTGAATTAGAAAAGCCAGTTGGCTAGGCTACTGAAATAGAATCTGGGAGGCGTGAGGATGCGTTAGGGAAAGACTAGGAGACTCAGACCTTTATAGTTTAATAAGATCCTGGGTTGATTCTATGCACAGTAAAATCTTAGAATACTTTTATAATAACTGATTTGCCTAGAGTGAGGAAAATTGTTCTGGGGGTAGCAAAAGTGGAGACAGAAAGGTTTGTAAGAGCTGTTACAAAGATCTAACTAATCATTATGTATGGCATGGTTACAGTGGGGGCAGGAAAAGTGGAAGTGGTCAGAATGGAAAGTCTACGCTTTCAGTGGATAGGCTAGGATGATTGATAAGATGGCTTTTGTTTTCTCAGAAGCAAGTGTTAAAAGTAAACCTCAGTGCTCGCTTTGGCAGCACATTTACTAAAATTGGAACGATACAGAGAAGATCAGGAAGAAGTGTTCCATTTAAAAAAAAAAAAAGTAAACCTTAAAACGGTGAGAGAGAAAGGATTTGATGAGGGAAATGTTCCCCAGATAATTGAACATTGCTTACTCTTCATTGATTTCAAGTTGGAACCATTCAAACTGACTGATAGCTGACCTTCCAGGAGATTTTTCAGAGTCTATAAATCTCTCTTCAGTGGAGCAGCTGGTGGATTTAAACCACTTACCTTTAGATTGGCAGCATGACTCCCTAACCACTAGACCAGTAAAGCTCCTTGGAAATATTGCTAGGCAGTATGAAGTGTTCAGTGAGATTTGATGATTGTGAGCTCACCATTCTGTAATTGAAGGAGTTTGGCTGTTATCCTAGTGACAAGGAAAGAAAGGTCCCCAAAGGCCTTATTGTGTAGAATGGGTTGTAGAAGAGGCTGGGAGAGCTGTTGGGAGGGTCTTAGAAGTAGGCCAGTGACTGATGATGGTTCCCTAAGGAAGGGCAGTTGACATGGAACTGGTAAAATGAGGGCCAATTTAAGAGATATTTGTTATTAGTATGTGCTGTTGAGGCTAATACAACTGTGAACAACCAGAATGAACCCTATCCTATCCTGTGTCATCCTCATCATCTTTGATAATCTTAAGCCCGTTGCTACCATCACTGTCAATCCATGGCATTGAGTGTCTTTCTCTGTATTGCTGACCCTCCACCTATCCAAGCATGATGTCCCTTTCCAGAGAATAGCCCATCTTAACAACATGCCCAAACTATGTAAGATGAAGCTTTGCCATTCTTGCCTCTAAGGAGCACTCTGGTAGCACTTTCTCCAAGACATATCTGTTTGTTTTTTAGCAGCCCATGGAAGTTAGGTAGTATTAATAAAAGATTTTTATTTACTGAATTGGAATCTGATTAAGGAGTCATTTAAGGGATGTCCAGTTTGATGAAAGCTGTTACTCATAAAAGTATGGTGCTTCAAGAAGGAAGATGGTAAGTTAGGAACTGCCGATACAAAGATAGTGCTCAGTAGTCACAATTAATTTTGGCTACTATATCAGCAGAGATAATGATTTCTACCATCCCAGTAGTGGTATTGGATAGCACTCATCTAGATTAGGGGAAGATTTACTGTCCCAACTTTAATAGTAATTCTTTTTTTATATTTCATTTTAGTTAACAGCTGTGTATTCCTAAAGACTAAAATGTGGTGGTGGGGGGGTACCCTCAAGTTGGAACAGACTCTCCAGCACATTTTCAGAGGCAATAAATCGCATAGGAGGAGATTGCCCATCCTTCTCTCGAGAAGTACTATAGTTTTGTCCATTTCTTAAAATTTTATCTTTAAAAAAAGTCTCTCAGTCCACATGTTTGGCTCTTCACTCTACTGTTGACCTACTGACAAGATTTTGATGATTACACTTTATTGGTACGGTTCAGTGTGTTCCTCTGCCCTTTGTATTTCCTGAAAATTGTATTTCTAGACCTATGGAAAGATTTGATTTTGAACA